CAAAGAAAGAAAGAAACCCACGTCAAAAAAAGTCTGAAGGGCCATCTGTTAATTTTGATATATTATGGCATCATAAATACAAACACCTCCTGCAGCACAGATTATGGGATTCCCCCCTCACCCCCCAATTTCAAACCAGTAAATATCACATGGATAAACAATAAAGGCAATATTGTACAATTCTGCATCATCTACCTGTCCTGGCCTCCAATGTGCAAGCCTTTTAATACCTACACCGGTGTGGAATATTTTATGGAGTGCTGCTTGATTTCCAAGCAGTAGGTAAGTTAGCATTCTATGAAACGAAACACTTCAGGGCAAATGGAAAAACCACAGCCTCTAGGCAAATGTAAATAAACGAGTCAGGTCCCCACTCAACTTGTAATGTTTGGAAGCCACTCGGCAGTGATCTATGGATGCTCCAAGTTGGCAATAAATATATAGAAGACTTGTGGAAAATTACTCATAGATTCTAAATGGAAGGAAATACAGACCTGGTCTTTCTTCTGATAAAATGACCAGCCCTGGGAAGATACAGAAATAATAGAAGGGCATTTGACACAAAGCCAATTTGAATGAAGAAGTATTGGCAGCCCCAATGAAATCTGAGGAAATCAGCTTAGCTTCAGATATTGCTCAACGCACAAAGCAGCCTGCTAAGGGGGAAACTGTTTACTCAATGACTTTTCATCTCTCTCAAATCAGACCTAATTTATCCTAATAACTACTAGTCTAATGGGACTTAATGAGGGCAGGGAGATCTCCAAAGAGTGGTTTCCCCCCTCTATTAAATCTGGATGCAGGAAACAAATTGCCATTGTAGAGGGGTTTTGGTTTCTTCTTTCTGTAGGGAGGATGCAATAAACATTCTTTCTCCTCCTGTGATGGAACTCCTATTTGGGGACTTCCCTGGCTTTTTTCTGGCCCATGTAGGACCAAGTCTGGATAGTTAGCCTTGGTGAAGACTTGACGTTTTCATCCCCCAAAAAGTTTTTTATTTGAGTTTCCATTGAAATGAGGCTGCATTTTAATGTTTTAATGTTGTATTTTAATCTTGTTTTTAAAGTTGTATTTCAATCAATTTGTTTTATATCGGTTGGTAGCTGCCCTGAGCTCGGTCTTGGCTGGGGAGGGTGGGGTATAAATAAAATGTATTATTATTATTATTATTATTATTATTATTATTATTATTATTGAGGTCTGGCTTGTTTTTATCAGGTAAAATATCCGTATAAACTAATTTGCATTAAAATTGCCTCCCCTTGATGTGTCCTACCCATTCCTGCAGATGCAATTTAACAGCTGTAGGGTGTAACAATGTTCATCACTAGCAACCTGACAGCAATACTCATGGGTATGGTGGCTTAAAACAATTTTATGAAAGTGGAATATCTGTGGCTATATCCATAGCGAGGTAGGGGGGGTGATTATAGGTTATACCTCCATAAGATCCTGGGTAGGCATTTGACTCAAGTTCTTTCAAGCTGCATGTCCTGGAGACAATTTTGACCATATGCAGTGGGAGTTAATGTTCAATCCAAATGTTATAAACACGGATGGAGTTCAGATGTGACATTCACTCTCATTTCTATATCTTCATGCCCAACATCACATACAAAGAGAGGATCTATGATGAGATCCATGTACTGTACTTGAGGAGACCACATATTTCGCTGCAGTGTGGTTCATGAACCACAATGCCGTTAGAAGTGGAAGGTCCAACTTCAACATATTAAAATGCATAACCTTTGGTACTTGATCTCAGGATTCTACTGAAGGAAACCATTCACAGCCCTTGTTTCTTATGGTTATTACGTCAGTGAGTGGTGCTCATCCTGCAGCCACCATGAACAAAGGCTCCCAAGCTGGGTCAGCATGAACTCTTCTGAGTCAAAAAAGGGAAAATATGGCCAGTGTTGTTATGCTAAATAGACATCACAGGGGAAAGAATCATATTAGCATTAAAAAAAACACAACCAAACATTTTTTGCACTACTACTGGTCAGACTAAATGTGGGGTTTGTTTTTTTTGCTAAAAGACATGCGAAATGTCAGAAGAACACTGGCAACATCATGTGGTCCCTCAATCAAAAATTCTAGAACATTCAAGGTATGAGACAATTTCAGGTAGTGTGGATGGGCCCTGTATTCCCAGTCTTAATCACCCCAAAGATAGGCCTTTCCACCCTGTCATTTTCCTGCAGGGTGTAGAAGCAGCAGCTGGCTACCCCAAAGAATGCCAGCCAAATGGAAGGAAGGAAGAGAGAACAAATACCCAGGTATGATTACTATTGCAATCATTCAGATATACGGAGACCTGAATAACGTTGGTTTAAAGACTTATGGCACACTGTTTCTCCTTTCCACAGTACAAGGTATATACTTATATGATTCACTTGGGTGGAAGAAAAGGATCTCTCCACACAACAAATGCTAATTATTCAGTTTCAGCCAACACATTACTGCTCATTGTTGAGGGGGAAAGTACCGGTAGATGCTTCATGTGCTTGGATGCTCTCCAGACCACATGATTGGAGGAGAAAGTTCAAAATCACCTCTTTTGTATTGAAAGTGCACTTGCTTTGAAAGAGATCCTATAAGAATCTGACTGGGATTTCATTGGTAAGTCCATACTCCTATTTGCTTCGAGGAGACAGTTCCTGCAATAAGATCTTGTCCCTTTCAGAGAGCAAACTACCTCAAAAACAAAAGAAAACGGCCATTCTCAGGGACAGAGAAAGCTCATATGTCCCACAACTAAAATGCAGTCACCTCTGGGCTGGATGGTTTTAACAGCACAGCTGTGCGAGGGAGGAGGGAAAGGAAATTATGATGTGGAGAGCTGTTTGAATTAGGAATCACAGAGGGATTGTACAGTGAATGGCACTGCATAATGACTTGCCATGGAACTAGGCAAAGCAGCTGTCATTAGGAAAATTATCTTTTAACATCTCCGAAGATCATGTTTATTCATCCCAAAGGTAATACCTTTGTCCATGTGCATTCTCTATTGGCCTCTTATGGAGGCTAATAACTCAAAGACTAGATTGTTGAGTGACAGCATTAAAAAGCAATTTCATCAGAACATGGCTGTTACAGGGTGCTATCAGACAGTGGGTTTTGCAAGTGTCTTGCTTGCAGATTGAGTGCCCTACACTAGCAAGCCACATAGGGACTAATCTCTATACTAAGAATTCCTAACACCAGCAGGATTAGTGACAATGAGGGAGAACAGCACAGAACAAATTGGTGGTGGCAGCACAGCCCTACTTTATATTTCGCATTCCCTGCGATAACACACTTTTTAGCATTGAATTGGAACAAATGGTAATTTAGGTTCCACGGATTGTCATTTGCTGCAACTGAGCATTAAAGAATGGGTTTTCATGGGGAAAGTGCTGCGACATGAAAAAGAAAAAGAAAAAGTGCTCAGACACGGCGCTTTAAAATGCAGACCTGCTGCTAGAAAGCATGGGGCAAAGGTAAGTGGATGAGCCCCAAGATAGGTGTCAGGATCATATTTCTCTTCTGTTGAAACAGCATTGTTGTATCCTGGTTCATTTCCAAACTCAATCAAAGTCCTGATACTTACCTTTAAAGCTCTATAAGGCTTGAGGCCCAGGTATCTTTTGGACTAGCTTCCTCAATACCAATCAATCTACTGAGATGTTTTTTTAAGCAGATGGGAGTAATATGTTTTATTCCACTGTGTTTCTTGTACTTTAAGGTGATTCCAGGTGACCTGTTTATTGGGCATTCATCCTGATCTGCTGTTGAGGTTAGTGATGTTGAACCAAAGCAGGTATTATCACACATTTCCCAGTGCATTTTGTCATCATTTTCCTTATCTCAAAATGTCCAATATTTTGGGGGAGCGAATTTGCCGACATGTAATGGAAGCACCCTTAATGCTGTGTGTAACTCGTTGTGTGACAGAACTACTGCTGCCCTGTGGCCATTTGGCTCCAGAGTCTATGAACCTTTTCTGTGTTTACAAACTAAGGATAGCATTTCATGCTTCTGCTCAGTTGGGCTCTAGTCCATGAAAGCTCACAACCGTTCAGCTGCTAATTCTGGTCCCAGAGAGAACTCAGATAGAGTGGCAACCACATCAGATGTCTCCACACTCCTGCTTCCAACTTCCTTTAGCTCAAATTCTGCACTATTATCTTTTTCAAGGAAAGAAATGGAACCATGGATATAGCCAACCGAGGTACTGCAATAAGACATAAGGCGGTATTAGGAACAAAGGAAGCTGCCTTATAACAAGTCCGATCATTGGACATCTATCTCAGTATTATCTAGTGGCTCCAGGATTTCAAATACAATTCTCTCTTAGCCCCACCTGAAGACGCCAGGGATGAAACCTGGGACCTTCTGCAAGCAAAGCAGGTGCTCTACCATTAAGATATGATCCTTCAAAAAGTTTTTTATGAAATGCTTCCAAATATTTGTGTCTGTTTGAAAATTACCTCCCAGTTCTAAAATTTCTGGTGCTTTGTACCATATTCTTTTCTCTAGCACCTGCTCAGAAGACTGGAAGCCTGCCCTAAAGATTCCTATGAAAACCTTACTGGATTTTTTGAAGGGGGGAATGTGATGCCTCAGTGGTAGAGCATCTGCTTTGCATGCAGGTCCCAGGTTCAGTCCCCAGCATCTCATGGTTGGGCTGAGAGAGAGTCCCATCTGAAACCATGGAGAGCTACTGCTAGTCAGTGTAGGCAATGCTTAGTGAAATGGACCAATGGTCTGGCTCAGTCTAAGGCAGCTTCCTATGTTCCCATTTCACCCCAACCGCTAAAAATATTCTTGTTTAGACAAGCCTACTCAGATGCTTAGAACGCTGAGGTAATTCTACTCTGTTTTAGTATTTTAGTATGTTTCAGAGGTGTGTTTTTTAACCAATCAAGTGGCGTACAAAATAAATAAAACAAAGTATTGAACAACACTTGTTTCAGAGATCCCATAACAGCTTAAAGGGACAATCCATTAGGACTTACAGTGACTGAAGGTTTGGAAGATCCCACAGAGCTTCTGCTGGGATCCGACTGAGCTGATTGTTCTGTAACATCCTATAATTAGAAGGAAAAAAATGACAACTTTAAAAAATAACCCTCAACAAAATGGAGTATACAGAATTCCAACCCCCTCCCCAAACAAGATTTCAGAATACCGATGCTGTTCAAGGCACAAAACCTTCCATTAACAAGGGCACAGGGCTGCTGAATACAGGTCTAGGAATGGCATTCCAAAGCCTATTTGTCCTGAAACCGCAGACTCCATTGCTTGCATGAATTGTGGGACTCTGGCAGAAATGTAAACCTGTCAAGCGCTAATGTTTTCTCAATATAAAATCTATACAGTGGTACCTCGGGTTAAGTACTTAATTCGTTCCGGAGGTCCGTTCTTAAGCTGAAACTGTTCTTAACCTGAAGCACCACTTTAGCTAATGGGGTCTCCCGCTGCCGCCGCCCGCCGCGCGATTTCTGTTCTCATCCTGAAGCAAAGTTCTTAACCCAAGGTAATATTTCTGGGTTAGCAGAGTCTGTAACCTAAAGTGTCTGTAACCTGAGGTACCACTGTACAAAGTAGCACCATGATTCCTGTGACTTAGTATATCTTATGTAAGTGAACACTTGGAATTAACTGGGAATTAGTTTAGGGAAAAGGTCACTCTGTTCATAATTACTGTTACTTTTTACATAGCACCATCAGTGTGCATGATGCTTCACCGGGTATAAAAGGACACGTCTCTGCCCAAGCAACTGACCATTTAAAATCTGACACAGGAAAAGTGATAGAAGAGCATGATGTAAATTGAAACTGGGATAAAGAGGGAAGTAATGAGAGATTGTTTTGGTTCCCTGTGCTTAGGCTTAGTTACAGGTGCGACGCAGAATGGCATGGAAACTAGGCGCTATGGAAAAGGTGGCTTCTGAGGAGGGATCTGGAAGAAATAGCATGCAGGTGTCTGGGAGAATATATGCATTCCTTTTGTGGAGAATAGAGATACCATGAAATTTCATCGGAGTTCTGATATTATATTACCACAATAGTTTTTATTCTGAAGAGTAATTTTAGGCCTCTTGACATGAGGTTTTGGGACACCTCAGAAAAGTGAGAATGTCTTGCACAGATCTGAGCAGAATCACCCATAATGTTATGCCTAGGGATGGATGCAACTTCAGATTCTGAATATGCACACTAGTTCCGATAAAACCGAAAATAAGGGCACCCAATTTCAAAACTGTTAAAAGTATCACATATGTCATGTGTTCTGCCCATTTTGTACTTCTCTACTGCTACAAAAGGTTTCCTTGAGGTATCTGGAGCTGATCTCCACAAACAGGAAAAATCATGTAGTAAAGTCCTTCTGGGACTGTATGCTTCAGGCTTCAAACATGGAATCACATTTTTTTTACGCAACCCTCACGTTAAACTTTCTGCAGGCAGAAAATTGCACACCAGAGTGAAAGGAGCCAAAAAATCTCCCTCATGCATGAATGCACCTGGCTTCAGGGGCATAGGAAGGGGGGGGTGCAGGGCACCCCGGATGTCATCCTGAAGGGGGGTGACATTTGGCGCAGGCCCCCCGCGACTTCCCCAAGCGCAGCAAGCGGCAAAGTGTCAAAGCAGCTGCTGCGGCTCTCCCCCTTTCCCTGGCTCACTGTATGCTTCCAGGTTGCAGGGGGGGGGGAGGCCCCCAGGGAGGATTGCGCAGCTGCGCCGAGATCGGCCCCATGGGCAGATTACCCCACCCCTGGGTGCACGGCATGTGTGCCACTCTGGGTGCCAGAGCACCCAGCTCTGCCACTGCCTGGCTTCCCAAGCTGATGATCAGCTGATGTTGAGGCATACACCATGTGCTGAAAAAGATTCCGTATTCCTGACTTTAGAAAAGTATTATTATTATTATTATTATTATTATTATTATTATTATTATTATTAAATGCACAGAGCTTAGAACTTGGACTGTGCTAGTAAGCCTTTATGGAGATGCATCACAGCTCAGTGGAAGACCGCATACTTATATGTAGAAGGTTTGAGGTTCAGTGCCCAATATCACCAGGTAATGCTACAACACACCCACAGCCAGTCAACATAGATAGTACTGTCTTAGACTGGCCAATGGTCTGACTTCCTACAAAGCAGCTTCTTATGGAAATGGTAGAGCACAGAAGGTACCGTCCGTTTTCCACCCACCTCTTTCTTTATTGCACTGGCTTAGCATGTTATGAACAGCCAGGGATAAATGACAGACGTCACAGTCAAAAGGAGTAGTAAAGCTGCACTGTGTGGGGCCAAGCAGCTCATTTCTCTTTTTGGAACAATGGCTCTAATCACAGGGCTCAGTGGACATGCTGCAGTTTACACTGGGAGTAGCCTGCCAGCCCCACTGCTTTCAGTAAACATCTCTGACTAATGATAGTAATTTGCATTTACCCAAGTAAACACTAGAAGCACAACGTGGACAGTGCAGGTCCCTAGGGTGCTGTGTTTTCTTTCTTCAGTACAAAACAGCAGAGGACAAAAGGTGATTCCCAAGAAAAATACTCATCGTCATATTAAAGAACACCCAAATGAAGAAAAACAATCAAACATAGTTTCACAGACCTAGTATATATGAAATGTAAGAAGAACCCGACTGGATCAACTTGCTATAACTATGCCTTTTAAATATATTAAACAGTGATACAGAATTATATATAAATAGCAAAGTTGCTGAATGTGATCCAGATAATAAACACATGGATGGAAGCAAAATATTATAAATGAAACATATTCAAGAAAACTCTTTAACAAGCTCATTGACAGGTTAACAGGTTGCTTTATTCATGAGTGATCATGGAGGAAATGGAGATGGGAGGCACCAGCTGGGGAACCTCCAAGGGAACCCCCAAGGGGCTCAGAGCCAGAGGACTGGTGGCAGAACAATGATGAGTGGTCAGAGGGAGCAGACTGGAAGGAGGAGGTGTTGGAAGCTGAAGATGTAACATGCTTTAGTGAGCAGGGAGATTCTGTGGCAGAGAGCAGTCCAGCACTCGAGGCAGAAGAGGAGGCTGGGGAGGAGGGGGGTCAAGAGGCAACAATGAGTGAGGTTGGTGATGAAGCCAGGCAGTCTCCCCCTCCTGCTGCAACCAGCTCCCCTCCAGCCTGGTCTCCCAGAACCAGAAGAGGTATGAAGAGGGCAGAGTAAAGACAGGCAAACTGAAGGAGCCTCAGATTGCTTGGGAAGGAGCTGGGGAGGAGACGACTTAGGGAGCTGGGCGAAGGCAGAGACCTTCAGTCCTCACAACTGTCATGTTGGGGCAAGATCTGCTGGGAAGAGTTGCTGTGCTCATTTGGCCTGGCCTCCTAAGCTGTTTTTTAAAAAATAAATATTATTTTTTTATTATTTATTCATCAAAAGAGCTTAGCGCGGTTCACCAGAGAGTTAACTCAACTGACACTGTGTGAATGATTGCTGACCTGCTACTGACCACCCACCTTGATAGCTGTTCACGAAACCCTGGGGGACACTTTCGTGTGTGCAAGTGGTGCCATTTTCACTACATAAGCACCAACACTTACACTTGAACATGAAAACAGGGGGAAGCAAGTAGGACCTGCAACAAAGCATTGCTATGTGGTGCACTCCCTGTTCTTGATTCCTGCAACTCCATTGCCTGCTGCATGCAGGCATTGCTCGTATTCATGTGCATATGATAGCAAGGTTTCCAGTGGGACTCTGGTGGGTGTGGGTGTGCGCACGCTTGTATGCACATTTGTATGTGTAATAGAGGCAGGGCAGGGCTCTGGGGCTGATCCACTTCTCCCTGGAGAATGTCTCTGTATGTTTATTTGCTCCCTTTGGTTTTAATGATTGAGCAAGATGAAAGGGAGAAAGGTATAGATCAAGGGCTGCTTGCCCGCCACTCCAGGGAGGGATTTAAAGAGACAGCATCGATTCATGTGTTTCCCCATGCCTTCTGGGGAAAGCCATTCATTTAATCATAGGAATGCTTTCCCACACAGCCCCACATCTGAAGCAGCCTCTCCCGCCTAATTGACTGACATTCCGTGAAGCCTATCTCAATGACTCCTTGCATGTAACAAAAACATTCTCACCCGAAGCTTGGAGTTGCTATTCTGCCTGAACTGCTCTTCTTCTCCGCACCCTCCCATAGAACAGCATGTTGTGCATATACAATTACAATTCTTGTGCAACACATTTTAACTAATCAGCTGGTGTTTGTTGTTTTCTTGCTAAGGTTTCCTCTCCTCCACCTCACTGATTCTCTATGCCTGAAAGCTCTCGCATGAAAAATTACTACAGAACCAGGTTCAAAAACCTGGGTTTGTTCACATGACCAAATTGGCATGTTGGAAATGTAGGGATGAAAGGATCTGTATGGTGAACTGCTGACATGACACTGTATAACCAGATTGAATTATGGGTATATAATGGGTTCTACATATTGAAGTAATACCTTACATACTGAAATCCCTTGTTGCTAAAAATGAAACTCAATGTGAAGGACCGCCAGGGATTGCCCCATTTCCCCCTAGGCTTCCCTCCTGTGTGGATGCAGGATCAGGGACCCCATCAGCTGTGCTTGCTGGTGAAGAATGACTGGGTGATAAACCAGGTAAGGAACAGCTGGGGAGAGGCTCGACAGTTGAACATGACATTTCAGAGTTCCTTATGACTAAGGAACAACAGAAGGGCTGGGGTAGAGAGGGCCTGCTCCCCTTTCTATTTGACCTGAAGTCCAGCAGAGAGAAGTTGCTAGGAAGGAACATGAGAGGCTGAAGTTTGAGGTCTCAGCCTCAGCCTCAGCCCAACTGGTGTCCCAACAAAGAACTGGGGGGAAGGGTATATGAAGCAACACTGGGTCCCTAATAAACAATGTGCGCAGGAAGAGAGGGACTGCGTACAGGAACACTGGGCCTTTGGAATACCCGCCAGTTACCTCAGTTGTGGTGCTGATGATGCCAAGGTCACAGGTTTAGTCCCCATACAGGCCAACCACATATTCCTGCATTACAGGGGGTTGGGTTAAATGATCCTCAGGGTCTATGATTCTATGATGTACCCCTGCTCATGGAATCCCAACACCCTGCAGAACTGAGTAGTGGTGCACCAGGTGATGGAAGGGCACACAAGCGCTCTGGGCAACCCCTGTATTAGATGTTTTGACATGCTGGAGCTGGGGTAGGTGGGGAGAGGGAGAGACAGGCAAAGCTTGTCCCACATGCTGCTTTCTGGATGTTTTAATTTGCATTCCTTGCCTGGGGCACCTTGAGCTGGATGAAAGTCGGAGCCTTCCCGCAACCCCTACTTGGTGGTTTTTCAAGCCTCGTTCCAACAAGCCGCTGGAGAGATTCACCTCTGTGTCCCATGGTCTCTCCTCAGCTTGTGCCCTCCCTCGTTATCCCACAGTTCCAAAAAAGGTGAAATAAGCCAAAGTTGGTTGTGTATGCTCTCACGGAAGCAGAGTGGCACTTTAGACTTCAAAGAATTGCAGCTACACCCACTTGCCTAGCAGTAAGATCACTCCTAGAGCAGCACCCACTGGGTCATTACAGGAAAAGCCTCTCACCAGGTTCTCAGCAGGAAACACTAAATCAAGCATGCACTCTGTGTGGATATAAGCATAGCATATCGCTGCAAACAGGACCAACCCTACCAAGAAGCAACATGAAGTAGTTTGCTTCAGGCAGCAGATTTCAGAAGGCATGCTGTTTTCCTGGCTTTCATATCCCTCTCACTGGAGAAAAATGTTTCTGGGCATCATGTTACTTTTTGCTCGAAGTGCAAAAGCATCTAAGACCCCCTAACCTGTCTACAACCTGGCAAAGAACTCAGATTCAACAGGGAAATGTTGGAACAGTTTTATGGAGTGGCTTGCCGCTCCTTGGATCTTATTGTTTTAGCTGTTTTAATTGTTTTAGTTTTAATAGAATGTTTGCCGTAGCATGGGCTGCACATGTGGGGGTATAAATTCAATTGCGAAAATAAAAATGGTTATAACATGGCAACATCCTTTACTCTGTGGATAACAGAAGAGCAACTTTTCTAGGTGGGATGTACATTGCAGCTTCTACATAGTCCTCACCTCCCACCCCCTGCAAAAAAAAAGAGAGAGAAATATTTGCTGGTCATTCCCACATTGGTTGGAATAGACTGAAGTGGTGGTGGTAGGCTGCTTCAGACTTCCCCTATTGTGTAGAATTCTAACCACACATGCGGAGGGGCTATGGGGCCAGATAACATGGATGAAATGGGTGGTGAACTTATTGCACGAGTTACTTAATGGCCAAAATAAGGCTCATCCCTTGTTGAGCATAGGCAGGGAACTTCTGCCTCCTAGCTGGGCACTGTACATGTGATAATCCCCGTGGAAATCCAGCCACATGGACAACACAACCTGCGTTTATATCTCATGCTAGTTCCATGCAGCCATGTGGACTGGCAGAATAGAGCAAGGGGATATGCCTTTAGACTCTTGGAAGGAGAAGCACAGGAACAGTATGGACATGAAGATAGGGTCACCTGCATGTTTTCCTTGGCGATACTTCTCAGATGATAAATCCTTCATGTTGAAATGAAAGCTATAATGCTCAATCCTTTTGTTGATATGGATGCCCAAGTTTAGGTTCCTGTCGAGTGGAGTGAAGCTAAGAGGTAGGCTTCTACGTCATCACATCTCACAGGATTGCTTTGGATGTACCTGAGGATGCCCAAACACAGATTTCCATGCCACTTGAGATGGCCACAGTTCCTCTGTGCACTATGCCTCCAGCCTCAGAAAAAGAACTCAAGCAATGCTTTCTCCTGATGCCAGCAGAGTTTTTGCTACTACTATTATTACCTGCAGGAGGTGCTGTCTTAGTTTCAATGAGACCTGCATACTTCCAACATTCTTAGCTATTTCACTGGGAAGCGCTCCAATGTAAACTGATAAAAAGAGGCATTCAGAGCCCATGAGTTCCCTGAGCATAGTGTTGCCCTTGTTGAAACAGGGTGGGTTTGCTGTGGTTTTCTTGGTTTCTTTGATTCGGTGCCTAATGCAGACTGTGGATAAAGCAGCAACTCATCTCTAAACCCAGGGATTTAGGGCAGGATTCTTTAGAAGGCCTAGTAAACAGCACTGCACTCTCTAATCCCGGGAGCAGGTTACTACCTGCTTGGTTCATATAAACTTTGTCGGCTACAGCGATTTCACATTGTGGTTGAGTTCCAAACATGCCCTCAGGACTGAAATGTTTATTGCAGAAGAGAAGGGATTGTAAAATATCTCCTTGGAAAAAGGAAAGATGAAGAACTGAGAACCTAAATAAACACTCACCAGAACCGGATTGCTGTTGCAAAATCATTAACAAATGAAAATAAATAAAAAATACACCATAATATCGGTGTGTGTGTGTGTGTGTGTGTGTGTGTGTGCATTTCCTATTAAGGCAATCACAGATGACCAGAGGAAAAGATATCCAATTCAGTTAGCCTGTCCTGCAGTGATTGCTATGAATGAAGTGTTAATGCAGGGCAAGTACCAGGGACAGAGCTATTTCAGAAAATGAGAGATCACAGAGGTGTAGCTATAAATTCAATCCCTTTGCATTGATTCTTGACTAATAAAGACCATATAAAGCAATTGGCAATGTATATTATAGGCTCCATACAAATGCCTACCAAGCCAAAATCACAGTTCTGGTTCTCTTGCCATTTTTTTCCACCCACATCCTACAAATGCTGTCAAGCATGAAAGTCAAAAGTTGAGATACTGTCCACTGTTATTTGGGGCTGAATAGAAGTCATTATCAAGAGCCACAAGGATTTCTTAGCACACTGTATAGAGAAATTCCTGCCCCTACAATTGATACATCATCACAGTGAAGAAACTAGATGAGGAAGGAGACTAGATGAAGTGTGACTAGAGACTAGATGGAGAGACGAATAACTTTAAACACTGTGTTGTCCTTGTATGAATTGCTGACAAATAAAAACAGAAGAAAAATAACTTGAAATATATTGATTCAAGAGCAAGCAACTGTTGAAATTAAATACCCTAGAGACAATGGAATTCCAGTGGTGTATTTGGATTTGAGCAGTTATTTAGTAACCCTGAACATTTTGCAGCTGCTCGGATGGCAATCTCCCACAAGCATGATTTGGAAGAAATCAGATAGAACCCAGCTTCAAGGAACATTTGGTACATAGCATTTCTGGGATGATATTTATAATGGTCTCTAATACATGGGAATGATGGACCCCATGACCTAAATGCCTGTTTGGAGAACAAGCATAAAGCAGTAAACTGAAGAAATTGTAACTTACAAAATCTTTAAATTGTAGAGGCCAGAAAATGCTTTCCCTGGAATCTTAGAGAGTTGATTTCCAGATAGGCGCCTGTAATAAACAAAAGAGACATGGTCAAGATAACAAGATAACATATTTGAAAGTCTACTAGTGCCTTTTGTAAGGAAATCGGATTATGACCCAGAGGGAAGTCTCTTGCTCCTGAGCTAGATACAGCTTTGTGAGCGGAACCAACAGTCATTTCAGGAAGAAGGTATTTCTAAAACTGCTGTGAACAATTCTATATGTTCCTCTCGTCACTATTCATACTAGCCACATGGAAGGCAGTATCCGGTATCAAGGGGCTACTCTTGGCTTTATAGCTAAGGTTTCATTGGCTGAGTTTGCACATAAACCCATATTGCTCTTCCCGGGGCATGTCAGTAAAGCCAAGGTTTGGCTTAGAATGTTGTCCAAAGCCAGGATTGTGGTTTCCTTAACCATAGTCCATAGCCAAGTTTTGCTCATATGGTTAAGGAGGAGAGACCTGAACCATGACCCTCTTATCAAACGACATGCTAAACCAAACCTTGGCTTAACTGCTGTCCCATGCTAAGCTGAGCCCTGAGAGAAGCAAAGGTGGAGTGAGCTCTTATCTGGGAGTTGACGTGTTTGTGCTGTCCCAATAAGCCATACTTTGGCTTACCATGACATGCAAAAAAAGATCATTGTGTTGTGGGGTATGTCTAAAGTAAGCCTGTTAGGAAAAGGTTAAGTGGAATTTGCTGCCAAGGAGTGTGGTGGAGTCTCCTTCTTTGGAGGTCTTTAAGCAGAGGCTTGACAACCATATGTCAGGAGTGCTCTGATGGTGTTTCCTGCTTGGCAGGGGGTTGGACTCGATGGCCCTTGTGGTCTATTCCAACTCTATGATTCTATGATTCTAACATATTACAAAGCTGCCCATTGGCTGGGGCAACCCAGTCAGATGGGCGACATAAGAACAACAACTCATTTTAGTTTGAATGCCATAAAAATGTGTTCTTATGGGGTTATGATTTGAGATATTCATAGAAAAAATATTTCTTGAAGCCTGGGATAGCTGAAAAGAGTTTCCATGTTCAGAGGCAGTATAACAGATACTGAGGACAAACCAGAGGTGAGGGATGTTGCCTTTCCTCTCTTCTAGTAAGTTTCTCAGAGGCAACTCGCTGACTAATTTTGGAAATAGAATTTTGGCCTAGGTAGTCCTTTCAGTCTGATCTAACAAAGCTCTTCTTGTGTTTCTAAGAGTCTGCAGACTTTCTGGAGTCATCCAAATACAATGACATGGACATAATACCAGTCACTTTTCATCCGTTTAAAGTATGATTGCTTTTGTGAATGCATTTATGCACATAAGTATACAAGTGCTGCATGTCTCTCTCCTTCCCTGGGATTTAAAGAAATGGCGCCCATAATTAGTCCTATAAAAGCATAAAGAGTACAGGGTCATCTCTTTAATATACAGGAGCAGGTTTCAACCTGCCTTCCTTATAGTACACCACCAGCTGCCTTGCAGTCTCTGCTTACTGTCACTCCGGGACTCTTTAACTTTTGATATTGCTTCTTTGGATTGATTTCTGCTCCCCTGAAGGGGACAGTGTTTCTGATGGGAGATGAGACAAATGGTGGTCACGCAACACATTTTGTTTTATCCTCCTTTCTGTGCATTTTCTGTAAGCTGCTATTTCCTGGGGACTAGATTTCTAACCCTTAGAAACCTGAACACAGTTTGTGTAGTGTGCCAAAAGAGCACCCACGTAAGTGGGGTGGTGGTGCTTGAGACTGTCCCCTGCATTTTTATCTTTCTATATCCTAGTTAGTAACATGAGGTGAGGAGCGCTGCTCTGACGGTTACCTTTCTCCACACACAGACAGGAGTAGTTTTCCAGAGGCTCTTGTGCCTTGCACTGAAAAGGAAGGGATGAAGCACTGAACTCAGAATGGGAGGGACAGACAGGACTCCGGTAGACTGTGTGCGCGCGCACGCGCTCCTGTATCATCAAGTATATAGGGAAAGTTTAGTTTGTTGTGCTTGCCCTTTCGTGGGGAGAGGGGAGGGGAGCTTGAGGCGTGTGCCTAGTGTAATATGCTTTTACCACAAACCAACAGGGAGAGAGGAGCTATGCCACTGAAGCTGTCAACACTGGTTTCAGTTCCCTATCATTAATCACTCAGACTATTTAGCCCTGTATATCCTGACACAATAGCATTCTGTGCACAGGGTGTCACCCCCACCCCACTCCCATTGCATTTCCAGTGTTTATTGTCAATCAGCAAAACCCATTCCTGCCCAGTTCCACTTAGTTTCTTTGCTGACTGCAACTTTCTCACACAAACATCCATCTGCCTGATTCTCCCCATCAGAGGGAAGACAAAGTTGTATGCCTTGGCTCAACAAAGTCACGTCCATTTTTATGACTGAAGTGACAAGTGGATATGTTCTCAGCTTCCAGGTCTGTGTCGTGGTCTCTGTATTGTGCTCCTCCACGACTCTGCTTCATTAGGCATTTTACGCCCCCATCTTTCTGTGGACAGTTTTCCAAGAGGTACACACAACTGGTCTGCCATGTACACTGTGAAGTAACTTCAGGGGACGTAGACAGAAGCATTGGCCGGAATTCAACGCAGCGTTAAGTGGGAGATGCATGACTGGAATGAACTCTTCTGGTGGGGATTTAGAACAGATTTAGAGCAACAACTTATTTGAATCATGCCCACTTTTTGTAAGGCGGAAGTCAGTCTATGAATCCATTTCCGCATGGAAAAAATAAAAGAAGTCGCTATCCTCTCATACCCCAGGTTTCATCCATCCCAGTATCTGTTCCTTTGAGTAAAGAAAAGTGCCAGCCCAACAAAGTTCAGTAAAAACTGCTGGTTCTGTTTGTGTGGTTATTCTTCTTGTGACATTTCAGCCTGAGTATGACATTCTTTCTCTTAAGCATGCAACGTTTCAAATAATTTTTGAAGGGGAAATTCGGAATAAATGTAAAAAACAAATATGGACTGGTATTTTGATGATGATGTAGTCATGTGGACACTGGTAATCGCTCGTGGACATGAGCAGTACTGGTTCCATCTGGAAGCACTCCTTGAATTTATTTTTAAATTATAGTTGTTTGCAGGCTGTGTGCTCCCAATCCTCAGGGCACATATCAACCTTGATTGTTAAAATGACTGTCACCCTTGCATTGCATCTACCTCTTCCCTTCTATTTTGTTGGACGCAATACAGCACTACTGGTTTGGATCAGCTAACCTAAAATGTAGATCTACGGGGTGGGGTGGGAGCCAGATAAGATCTAAATAAACCAAACATTTGGAAGCAGTATAAGCAAATTATTTAAATGCTGCACACATGACTTTGTCACATATCACCTGTTTCTGCCATACGTATCACTTTGCCTCAGAATTGGGAAGGGAATGCTAAACCAAAAGGCCATATAACCTCATTATGCTTACAGTTCTTCTAGAAAGCGCAGGTGGTGGAAGTCCCCAGGCAGCAGCTCACTGATGTTGTTCATGCTCAAATCACTGAGAAACAAAAACAAAGAAAAGGGGGGGAAATCAGAGTTTGGATCATTTGCAATACCCAAGTAAAATATAAACTTATAGGACATAGTCCAGCCTGCAAAAAAACCTATCGCTCGTGTAGGCTCTGCTCAGATCTCCATTCATTGTTAGACAGAACCATGTTTTCACTCTGTGCAAAGTGCTAATAAAGGGACGCGGGTGGCGCTGTGGGTAAAACCACAGTGCCTAGGACTTGCCGATCGTATGGTTGGCGGTTCGAATCCCCGCGGCGGGGTGCGCTCCCGTCGTTCGGTCCCAGCGCCTGCCAACCTAGCAGTTCGAAAGCACCCCCGGGTGCAAGTAGATAAATAGGGACCGCTTACTGGCAGGAAGGTAAACGGTGTTCCGTGTGCTGCGCTGGCTCGCCAGATGCAGCTTGTCACGCTGGCCACGTGACCCGGAAGTGTCTGCGGACAGCGCTGGCTCCCAGCCTATAGAGTGAGATGAGCACACAACCCTAGAGTCTGGCAAGACTGGCCCGTATGGGCAGGGGTACCTTTACCTTTTAAAGTGCTAATGGATTGTTCAATTGTGCATATTGTAAATGGGAGGGGGAAATGCTGTCTGGATGGCAATTTCAGCAGCAGGAAGTTTTGTGTGGCTGAATAGTTCAGTAAGGCTAATGTTGCATAAGCCACACAATAGGTGCATTGCTTTGTTATGCAGTTTTGCCCTCAACTCATACCACGTAGCAGGTTCATCCCCAAAGTTTGCAAATAATGTTCCCAAATGGAATTCACATGGGCTTGAAAGCCTTTTCCTTCAATGTGGTACAACTGAGATAGATATAGTTTGAGCAAATTTAAACAGGTTGTTTTTCATCACTGAAACAAGCCCACAGTGAGGTAACAAGCAAATCCAGGTAGGGAATGTAGCTCTTCTGTGGTTTGGCCGGGGTTACCAGCATGGTTTTTCTGTTGTTTAGCTTGTCTAGGTGCTTTAAGTTCCACATCCACGTCATCTGCCAGTTTCTTGCAATTCTCTATTATTGTTCTAAAGGGTTTCTTGCTACTTTCCCTGTGTTGTTACATTATTCCCAGCAAATCTTGTATATGTGCCTTCATTTCCATTACATCTAACAGATTGCATAGCTTAGGTGACAGGCTATAGTGTCAAAGAAGATTTGCTTATGATCACAAGACAATAAAACTGATGTCAAGTGATGTGCTAGACACTTGTTCTATGACAGGAAGATCTACTGTTCCAATTTTAAAAAGCTATTTCAGTAATGTTGAAACAAATAAATATACAAAGTTTATCCACACTTACCTTTCCTCCACGCTTTCCAGGAGCGGTCTGTGCTTTAAAGCTCCCTGTCTAATCACTTTTTGTTTTTGTTTCTTGCTTTGTAGCCTTCTTCATGAAAACCTGCTCTTTACCACTGAATTGGAGCAAATGACAAGCCACAGAAAACCCAAATTGCTGTTTGTTGTGCTTCAGCTTTAAAGAGCAGATTTTCATGGAGAAAGCTCTAGGGCGGGGGGGGGGGGGAACACGCTTGTACATGGAGTTTTAAAGTGCAGACTTGTGCCTGGAAAGGTAAGTATGGATAAGCCCTAACTCTTCTTCTGTATTGATCACTCCACATCCCATTGGCACCAGAGGTGTGGAGGTGGAGAAAAAAACAAGCACACATCAGCTGGACTGAGTTAAACAAAACTCACTTTATGGCTCAAATCTCAGCAAGTGCCCAGACTTAGCCTTTAATGGCATTTCACAATATTTGGGAATCTTTTAAATGTCTTCCTGCTGTTTTATAGATGTTTCATTTCAGCTTTTATATGATGGCCTTAATTTCCTTATCTGCTGCTTTTATGATCTTGAATAATGTTACTGGGCAGCTGTTTTGTTTTTTGTCATATTTTAGCTTTATTGTAAGCCAACATGGGGTCTTTGGCAAGAAGATGAGATATAAATACCGCAAATCAAACAAACAAGCAAGAAATATATTGTCTGCATCATCTTCCTCATAAAATATAATTTAGCCATTGCCCATCACTATTGCTGAAAACCATTTCTTCAAGTTTCCCATACATAGATACCTTCTTGTCCATGAACTGTGCATGGAGTTTTAATTTACTTTTAAAAAAGAAAAAAAACTGGAGCACAGTGCTTTTCTGCAAGCATACCTGGTTAAAAAATATATCTGATGCTGCATGCGGAAGTGGGGGTGATGAGAAACTTAAAACAAATTTCAGATATATTGTAGTCGTCATATCTAAGGATTATGGTGCAGCCAGGCATGTAGTTTTGTCTGCTATCAGACGAAAACTGTCAGATGAAAATTCACTGAGAATAATTGTATTTTAAAAGGAAACAATTTTCCAACACTGAAGAAGATGGGGATAGAATAATGGCTGAAGAAGTTTGGTCCACATTGATCTTGTCAAAAGCTTATGCCTCTTTTTACTTATTAATAGTTTTTTAAAAATACTAGCAGCAGCAGCAACAACAACAACAACAATAACTGATACCTCTTTAATGAGGCAACTACTGTTGTAAACAAACAGTGGAAGAACATAAGGTGTGGAGGGCTGAACCACCACCTCATGTGAGCATCAGCAGTAAAGGTAAAGGGACCCCTTGACCGTTAAGTCCAGTCGCAGATGACTCTGGGGTTGCGGTGCTCATCTCACTTTACTGGCTGAGGGAGCCGGCGTTTGTCCGCAGACAGCTTCCGGGTCATGTGGCCAGCATGACTAAGCTACTTCTGGCGAACCAGAGCAGTGCATGGAAACGCCGTTTACCTTCCCGCCAGAGCAGTACCTATTTATCTACTTGCACTTGATGTGCTTTCGAACTGCTAGGTGGGCAGGAGCAGGGACCAAGCAACGGGAGCTCACCCTGTTGTGGTGAATCGAACCACCGACCTTCTGATCAGCAAGCCCTAGGCTCTGTGGTTTAGACAACATTTGGCGACCATACTGAACTTGGAGAGTCCCACGCCTATCAGTTTGGAAGTGAAATAAGGCTACTGAAAAATAAGATAGTGGTTTTTTCATAGTCAGGAGGTTCCCCCGCCCCAGTGCTTCTGTGCCCACGTCAAGCTCCTCGCCGCATCAACTTCCCCACTGCCTCTCCCTCTGTTACTGGCAGCCACCTTTGAATTGGAAAGCCAGGTAAACAGCAGCAACCAACACTGCTCTGACCCACCAGCCGCTACGGATTACTTTGTCAATTAAAAGATTACTTTTAAAAAACTGAAAACAGCATTCCAATATGGACTTATGTTCAGTGACTTCCAAGACTGACTGAATTTGAGCCATGAAATGTTAAGATATCCCTTGAAAAAAAGAAGAAATGAAGATGGTGGGTGAAACTGGCCTTCTTGAGCCACTAATGTCTTTAGTTTACATTAACTCTCATCCTCATGTTGTGCATAGAGACTTCAAGAGAGAGGAAAGGATAAAAGATGTCTCTTTTCCTTCACCCTCTCCACCCCTCAGGGCCCCCAAACAACAGTTCAAGGCTCCTGTTCTTTGCTTATTTGTTTTGTTTGTTTGTTTTGTATATTTCTTTCAGTTAAACACTGTCCAGGGTGGTTCACAATTAAATACAAAAAAAAAAAAAAGGGAAGGGAAGTGAGAGAGGATTTGTGAGGGATACACACCAGGGACACACTCAAAATGCAACATTTTGTTAAATTAGTACTTTTTAAAGTGTAAGAGTACTATTAAAATACCAACAGAGGCCACAAAATACCAACAGAGTCCAGCTCATCTGAGAGCTACATTATAGAGGTCATAGCATATAAAGTATATAGGAAACAACATAAACATTTCATAAATGATGTTATATTACATGTTAGGGGCAGATTAAACAATGCAGCATTTTCATGTATATCCCTATTTCTATTTACGCTACAAACAAACTGGTTTAATAGTTTAACTGATCTAGTTTGGGCATATGTAAAGTAAACATTTCAGCCAACTTAATAGCTGGGGAAGCCTGGGAACTGCATTTTAAGCGTCAAGGCAAGATCTGTACAAGATAATTTTCAGTATCCTCAGTAAAATGCAACAGGAAGCCATGACAGTAAAACCTATATTGATTTTATATCAGTTCTGCCCTAAGTCACACTATAGCCTAAACACTTCTTGATAATTGGAGGACAAGATATATTATTCACACACAATTCTAAATGGAAAACAAGTTTTTGCAGTTTTTAAAATATTGCCTCTGCGGCATCCCAGTATAAAGAATGAATGCTTTCAGTCAGCCTTACTCACTGTACTACTACCCTGCTAAAATGTCAACATTCTGGATGAAAGCCCCAAACAGTTTTTGCAGTCCTATGTAATGTTGGGCCTTGCTAAATTTAGAGACCTTAACTCACTTTCCTTACATTTCAGAAGCTTGCAAGAGAGCTTCTTATTCCTGTTAGCCCTAGGAATTCCCAACCTGAATACACTGGAAAATTAAGACAAAGTTCCTGGAAACTGAACCACATGTGATTCAGAGTCAGGCTTCATAACTCACCTGTCCCTCAAGGGGCTCCTTAATTCAAGCGCTTTGATGTCCCTCGCCTCTCATAAACAAACCTTTTTACCTCTGCTTTTAGTTAGCATCATTATTTTTTTTCTTTTTTTGCCTAAAAGGCAAAAAGAAGTTACACCCCCCTCACATTAGTTTGCAAAGTCCACTGACAGTTTTCTGCCTCAGCTGTTAAATCTAAGGACACCAGGAGCCTCAGGCTTACAAGCTTCTGAAGTCCACTTGCCACATCAGAGGCCAACATTTTATGTATACTTCTTGCCAAGCACCACACATACAGCTAAGCATGCGAAATGTAAAATACTAAGCAACACACTAAAACCATTTTCACACAAAACACTTAAAAAGCACCTTTGAACCGCTCCCCAAGTCGAGCGAAAGCTATTAATATGACACAGAAAAAGAGAACAAAAATTCTAGGTCAATGTACATTCTCCCCAACTTAATTATGTTACAGGTCTATTTCA